GCGCACACAGGTGAGACCTGAACAGCACACGTTGATATCTGTGTTTAAGCTCAACTCGTTTAAGCTTTGCCAGTTTAAACATTTAAGAGCCAGAGGACGCTCTGGGTTTGCGCTCATCCGAAGTGCGCAAACCCGCGCCTCAGAACGCACGCAAATATTAAGCTTTCTCTGAAGTATTGTGTTTAAATGGACAAATTCACACAAAAATTATGTCAAAATGCCCGTCTTGGTAAGTATCCTATAGCAGACATAGCCGGCTGAACGTACTGTATCAGTGCACTGGATCAGTGCATTCTCTTAAAGTGACAGCACTTTCTTAATATTAAACAAACAGCAACAACAAAGAAATCACTCACTGCTCTTGATTGAATAGCTTTTGTAACTTTAATAAAGATAAATCTTTAATTTATAAAGTCAAATATGCAATTCTGTTTTACATTTCATTACAAACTAATGTTAGACCTACCTAAAAAACCCTGAAAATCACTGTTTATTTTATTTGTATCTTTACTCTATTGTATTTATTTGTGCTGTTGCTTGTAGTTAGACAGATTATTCTTAATTTCTTTATTTTTATTTGACAGTATAGAGTTTTTGCCTAAACATAGCACATACCAAACCGTACCGAAACCGTGTCTCTAAAACCGTGATACAAACCGAACCGTGAGTAAGTTGAACCGTTCCACCCCTAATATATATACATACATAAAATAAAATATGTATATGATATATGAACTTATATTATATTAGTAATTTCAACAGTTCTGTGAAGTTGAAAAGGTGCCACATAACAGGAATGACCCAAAAACCCCTCTAACTACGGTAAAAACTACGATCATGAAACTTTCCTTTCAGCTCTGGTGCCTCTTCTGAAGGCATTTTCCAATGGACAAACCGCAGGGACAGTGCTGAAGTCACCCTGGTGCTTTATAGATGTCCAGGTGATTTCAACCACTTATCCAACACAGTCGGCTCACATTCACACAGTATTTCTCATGACAGACAGCACCAGGGGAGATAAAATTTCTCTGAAATGCCTGATAAAATGGAGAATGTTTGGAATGGGACTTCAGAAAAAGGCTCCCACACAGATGTAACCGGACATTATGACTCTGAATGTGCTGTTCGAAAGGGATGGAAAATAGTCAAAATAACCATTAGGGTCTGTCTATTAATAGTGATTCCCAACCATATCTGCTCAATCTGGAACTAGTCACGCTGTGCTTTAGTTTTAATTGTTTTCATTGATTAAAAAATCAAGCGATAATATGTGTTCAGCTCGCTAAATGGTTTACTTCTGAAGTGGAATTACATTTCAAATGAATCTCTAAAGAGTTCACTTCAAGGTAATATCGATCCAACGCAACCTCTTGGTGTGGGATCTAACCTGCCTGCATGGATGGTGCATTCCTGTCTCTAAGCCAGTGGATCAAGGAAATGTCTTCTGAATGTTTAGTTTAATGTCTGGTTGCATTTCCAGGCCAGATATCAAATGAGCTGATCAGGAAGCCTGGGGTCTGTAGAGACCTACACCAGTCCAGCTTTCCAGATCCTGGAACCATTTAGGGTCATTTATGGATATCCAGGGCCCTGGCAGCTCGAGAGTGGCCTTACTGGGTCAACAGAGCCTCTCTATAAACAGCTACTGAGCCTGGCTCGCTCTCTGCTCCACAGCCTGGGGTCGAGGGTCACAGATGGTGCCTCTGAAGATGGCGGCTCACCAAGCAGGCAGTCGACGTACAAAGCTGGCATTTCCACAAGCAGAGGGAGATCATTACGGCCGCTGTACAAAATATTCATGATAATAACAATATTACCATGGTCGAATTAGCAAGTCAAATATGCACACAGGCCTGCTAGCAGACGAGGCTTCAGAGACCACTTTGATCTTGTTGGCAAAAGCAACTTGATGATGGCAATTGAAATCAGTAAGAAGAGCTAAAGAGAGCAAAAGGAAGGACGGGTTTCCGCCCAACACGCCTTGACCTTTTTCGTTCTTTCGTTCCCAGCGCATCATCTGAGAAATGATCTGAACTAAGAGACCATGACAAAGCTGTCATTTTAAGTAAATGTTTTCCCTTCACCAAATTTATCTTTTTCTTAAACCTTTGTGCTTGATATTAGCTATGCAAGTAATTCTCCAATGGCCCAATTTAAGCCAGCCAGTCGATCAACAGCGAGGTTCCTGCTATGAGACGCTGGGGGAAACGTGTTAAAAAAAGAAAAGAAATTCAGGCTTTCTCTAGACGCTCACTGAATAATGACAACATTTGATGAAATATCATATAAAAATCAATGGAGAGACAGGAGAGGCTGGTCCCACTGTGTTGTCATGTTTAGAATGGAATACTGGGAAACACTGTGTCGTCAGCAGGGTTGGAAAAGCTACTTTGAAACTGCAATTGAAACTACTACTACTGTTTAAAGTAGTTTAAACTGTAGACAAGCAATTTTGAAATATAAAAAATGAAATATCTCAAATAGAGTCACATCAATAAAAATGAGCATAAACAACTACCATAAACACTATTTAATTTTTTTCATATATTATAAGCAAAAGTGACAAATAACTGGAATGAATCAGAATCAAACTGAATCGAGAATTGATACTGGAAAAAAAAAATATATATAACTATATTACAAAAGGAAAGAATGTTCCAACTAAACAGATTCAGAATGATCAGACTTTTTTTTTTCTTTTCTTTTCTTTTTTTTTTTTTTAAGTAGCTTGTTACCAGAAAAGTTTTGAAACTGTTTTGGTAACAACTGAGCACACTGTCATGCTAATGAATCAATGTAGTCAAATTAGGCTAGTTAACTCTCCAATGCTGATCATCAACGCGACAAATCAGCACTGAGCTCGATCTCATGGAAAACTCCTGGAGGCTCATGGTTCTCAGTGATTTGTAAGTATAAGTAACTGAACTTAACTGACAGCGCTGACCTTCATTAAAAATCTTGCTAACTGGCTGTCATGTAGAATGACACCAGGGTTGTCCTCATTTCGTGATTCGTCGCAAGCAGTTTGCTGCATCTGTGGCTCGCCTACAGAAGCCTCAAGGTCAGGAACCGTGTCCCTCTGCTGTCTTTCATTCTCAAAAGCTTGGCAAGACATGGAGAAATCTAATACGAACCGTAGCAGCAACCAGAAAATCACGGGACAGGGCATCAGGTGCCAACATGCAAGAAGCACCCAGGCTTTGATTTTTAAATCTTCCTTCAATCTTTTGCACCACACAATTTTAACAAGCCCCCAGAATGACTGCCAGATCCTTTCCCAGTTTTCCCTGGATGAGGGAACTGCAACGGGGGAAAAGAGACAGGCCTTTACTTCCAGCCTGGCAGACAGGGATCCAAGACACAATTTCATGGTTTGTGGCCGGTGCACACCAGTGACTCCTCATCCCCTTGAAAGCAGGCTGGTTGGGAAAGGGATGACACCCCCCACCCATGCGCATACGCACCCAGCAGCCATCACCTTCACTGTATGCTGCCCATTATAAGCACCCATTCAGCTTCCAGCATCAAATATTAATCCCGGCCCTCGAATTGAAAAATTGCAAAGAGGTGAAAGCAACTCACCATTTTATTATTGATTTCGTGAAAATGAATCTCGCAGACCTTTTCCACCACATCCTCGTTCTCGAAAGTTACAAAGCCGAATCCTGTGAAGAGGGAGAGGATGGGAGAGAGAAAACAGGGGAAGAAAGGAAGGGAGGGGGGAAAACAGCTCATGATTGAAGTGAACCAACACAGAAGCAGTTAAATGAACAGGAAAAAGCAACAAATATCTGTTGATTGCTATTATCGTATGGAGAAAGCATAAATGAGCCATTGAGTCGTACAGCAATCTTAGTTTTATCTGGTCCTAATGCCATGCAAATTATATATCTAGTACAGAGCAGGAACTCTTTTGCTGTTAAAATGATGAAGTCCTGGGCACTATTAAAATAGCTTTGAGTCTGCTCCTCAGAGATGGAGGAAACTCAAAGATGTTTTAATGGGATTTGTAGAGCCAGCCAGCATCTGAATTCCATTACCAAATATTTGATGTTTCTTTGTGAGTTTTTCAATACGTGACACACTATTTTTCCTCATTCCTAAGTGCCTCTACTGAGGATCCATTTTCACCTCTCAGAGCGCACCATCCATGAGGAACAGGGAACATCCAGTGATTAAAAAAAAAAAAAGCAAAAACCCATTGAGACAGAGTCTCAAACTAGATATGGATGTTTGCGAACAGAATACTGATAATTTGTCACACACAATCACACGTGCACATATACACGACCAGGGGGCAAGAAATGATCTGAAACTTAGAGAGACACATTATAAGCCCTAATCAGCTTCACTCATGAATGTTAATCAAGTGACATAACAAACGGCCAGTAGATGCTTGCTATTTTCAAGAAAAAGTTCAATTTAATGAAATGTCAAGTGGTGTAAATATTAAGTAGAAAGAAAAAAAATCCTTACAACTTTAATACATTTGGGTGTATATATAAGCAGTTTTGTTAAAATATTTGTAATAATGATTATACTACTAATAATGATCACAATTTTCGAAAACAAATAAATAAAAAAATAAATATGCAGTTTTGTTTACAAATATATATAAAAATAATTTTTAATACAGAAATTAAAAACTTGTCTTTTGAAAATCATATTTCCCATGTTACAAAAACAGCATTCTTCCATCTTAGAAACATTGCCAAGCTATG